AGGGGGAAGGAGGGCCCCCTTTGGAGAGATTTTATATTTTATGATTACGTAAATTTAGACCATTGCGCTATCTAAAATGTAGCATAAATTCAGATAACGATCGCTTCTTGCACATCTAGCGCCTATATTATGTATGAATACGATTGTTTTAATAATCTCCTTTTCTGTTCATTTTTCAAAATTTTATGGACTTGACGTTTTGGTTGGACATTAGTATTTAGGTCTTTTATCAACACTGCCTGTAGCTTATAAACCTGTGTAAATAATATTTCCATTGATACTTCGCAATAACAATCTTAAGAAAAATATGGGGTATACACCCCGCGTACAACATGTTGCATACACCCCGGACAACACAACATTGATTTTTTGTCAATATCTTTATTTACAAACTGTTTTATTTACACACAATTTGTACAAAAGTTTATATAGTAAACATGTATTTAACAACAATATAAAAGTGATGATAAAGCAAAGCTTTCTTCTGATATTTGATCATTAACACACTGTAGCGTTAATCTTGCTCCGATCCTCAGAATTGTGTTGAGGTGTTTGAGAAAACTAAAAGGTGTCCAGTGGATTCATAGGTATCCATATACTCCTTAGATAATGCTTTCTTCCATAGGCTTATGCTTTCTGGCGAAAAATATCCATAAGTTGAGAAAATGGACAAAAAAACTACATTGACCCCCTTTCTCTCGCTTCGGAAGCATACACCCCGCGCAAAACATAGTATACACCCTGCATGTTGGGATATACACGGTGTATATGTAGATCATGCTCTTGCATATCGAATCAATTGAGATATAATTAATATACACTTCGTATGCAGGTGATTAGGGTTTATTGCTGCGTAAGTAAGGGAAGTTGACGATAGAAAAGTTAAAGTCATCACGTTTATCATATACCTTGGTTGTGAGATTACCATTAACGTCTTTTTCAAGTAAAATATCAAAGTATGAAACAAATGTGTCAGACTTTGTGTATCTTTGATCTCAAGCTCTTCAGGATATATCGTATCGAAGTAGGAATGGAAATTACCATTGTTAATTGACAATTCGTCGTCGATATATCTAAATGTCGAGTTGGAGGTCACAGCTAGTGTTTTCTTCTTTTCATGCATAAGATGTTGCACAAATTCTGCTGCATAAGAATACAAAAATAGGTTTGCTAACAACGGAGCGCAATCGGTACCCATATGGAAATTCCAGTAGATTGTTTGAAGACCTGGTCTCCAAATACCACATAGATTTTTTCAATGATAAAACTTAAGCATCATTTTGATGTCAAACTCAGAGTACATTTGCTTGTGAGTGAAATCAGAGTGTGTTTCAACAAAATTTTTCAAATGACCAATTACCAGGTAAGAGAATTAACGATTACATTTTTTACCGAAAAAGCAGCTCTCAATGATATCAAAAAGTCTAAACTTTAATTTATCGCGGAAATGGTTGTGTATGAAGTTAAAAAGTCGAAGTTTTTAAGCTGTTGATCTTGGTATAATCTTGTGATTTCAAATTGTTCCAAAGTTCCTTTGGAATTTTTGAGTATCCACATCTGATTCACACCACTTGTTGAATATATTGTTACACAGTACTCTTCAAGTTTTTCCTTCATTTCTGTCAATATCTTAGTGAGATGTAACGAAAGAGACGTTGAACATTTACGGGAACCCGCAATGTATCTTTGTTTGTAAGGATTCTTATGATGTTTCGGTATCCAATATATATAGAGTATTTCAAATTCATTTTAACGCTGTGGAATATTAAAATATTCAAAACTGACATATGATTTTCAAGAATTTTTTCTTCAGAAAGGGGAGTATGAGTATGTATTAGAAGGTTTACCTCTTGTAGAATTAAATCCAAGTTCTTCTAAAATATTATTTGTATAATGAGCCTTACAAACGAAGGTAATATTGTTACCTGCTTTGTCGGCAGGAACCAGTACGTACTGATTATTTAATCTATCTGATTCTTTGCAAATTAATGAACTCTTTTGGTCTATCAGGCCATTACTTCGATATAAAGTCCTAGCACATACCGTCCAAAAGTTAATGCTAAAGTTAAAGTGTGGAATTTTGGGGTAAAAGTGTCTGTGTCTCAAACTCCAAGATCAATGTCATAAGGTCAAAGTTGGTTGTACACAAAAAAGGGTCTTCTCATAAAAATACAACTGTGAAATATGAAAGCCATATTCTCACTCAGTTTATATGGGCAAGATCAATGCGCTCAAGTATACAAACAGACGGACGGACAGTTAAAAAAATATATGTAAGACTCTAAAGTCCGATGGTCTCGCCAAACCCCGATGGCTCATTGTCTTTACATGCGCCAAAGTCCCATGGCCACGTTAAAGTCCGATGGCTCGTTTCCAATGAGACGCGCGACGCTGACGTGCGATGGTCTGACACGCCGAAGTCCGATGGTGCGAATGAACAATCAACGTTTATGACGTCACAATAATCCGACGTCAATCCTTGACGCCGTTGTCCTCCATTCAAAAGCAATCATTTCTGAATTCGTCCTCGAATACAATTTTTATTATTGATTTTGCTTATTTTGATATTTAGGTTATTGTTAATACACACTTTTCGAGCGTTAGTCTCGCACCTGCCTGAGAGTTAAGGGTTAGTTATCGCATTTATTTATACTTATTCTAAAGACCTTTGCATGTCGCGGCATTGAGGTTTGGGCGCAGTACTACTATGACGTCATAAACGTTAATTGTTTTCCGCCCCGTCGGACTTTGGCGTGTCAGACCATCGGGGTTTTGCGCAGACTATCGGACTTTGGCGTGACCATCGGACTTTGGAGTCCCATCGCACTTTGGAGTCCTACATATATACCACCGAAACTTCGTTTACGGGGCCATAAGAATAACATTAAGTAATCACTTTTTCATCATCCAACAATTGTTTTTAATTTCTATCGGTAAACAACTTATTAAATCATATTACATTTAAGTACATGTAGAACGCAGAAAACGACACTACATGTGTTAATATTTGGAAAGACGCGCACTCCTTTTATGTATTTTTTCTGCAACAGCTGCTTCCGTTAATTCCAGTTATAACAAACAAAGAAAGCATTTTATTGTAAGATATTGTTAAGCTTTGATTTCGTTATCTAGCCTTAAATGCTTTCAAAAATAAGCATAAGGCAGCTTGATATTACCCGTATACATTCTCATAACAAGAATATTACTACCAAAACGAATGTTTTTGCATCAAAAAATGACAAGGGGTCATTATTCTACGGGGTCATTTTTCTACAATGCACACGGAGAAAAACGACCCCAAGGCCATAATTTCTACAGAAAAGTGGGTCGTTTTTCTACGTAGAATATTGACCTGGGGGTCAACTTTCTACGTTGAAAAATGACCCCCGGTCAATATTCTACTGGGGTCACTTTTCGTCGTTACACCGGCACGGTCACATTTTAGTCAGATTAAAGAGATTGTATAAAGTCATTATCCTTTCCCATATTTGAAGGATATGGAGATAAACTAGATTTTGATTAAATGAATGGTTACTTAGTACTATTTTGGTCGATCTAAATGATTTTAGAAGTATTAAAAAAATCAAAGTACTGAAAGGACTGAAAAGCGGTTAGCATGCTTTCATGGAATATGTTCAGTGTAGAATAACAAAAAATTCATTGAGTGATGATATTAAAGAAAGCATGCATATCTTTGTTCAATGTCATCAGCGAAGAAGCAGACACATTGTCTTTTGTAGTAATTAACTAAATGGTAAAACCAATAACATCCCAGACTGATGTCACAAATGTATGTTTCAAAATATCAACCTGAGATTTTCAGTTTGAAAGACAGGAAGGTCAATTTCAAAATTTTCTCCCTAATTTTCTCCATTGGTGGCGTCCAAAAGTGCTCAGAACGAAAAAAAAAATATGTTGATGTTGCAAATTTAATTGTCTTTCATGCTCTATTGATTCTGAAATTAGGTAACTGTAAAGGCTACTATAGCAAACAACTCAAAAAGAAAATAAGTTGATAATTCAAATTCTTTAGATTAATTTATTTGGAGTACTGTACATAGATCTTTAGCTGGCTAGTCTGAGAAAAACGGATGGACGAGCAAGTAATTTGTAAATTAATTAATTTCAGAGAGCTTCAGTTTCGTAGGCTCACTGCAGGTCAGCAGGTGTGACCTGTCATTGGGGATGCTTACTTCTCCTAGGCACCGGAACTTTCACGGATCCGTTTTTCTTTTGAGACCGATCACTGTTCATTCTGTATTTTGATACAGATACTGAGTACATCTGTTTATTAATATTATGAACTATTTCTCTCACGGGAAGAAAGACAAGTAAACAAGATAATACAGTTTTAAGAAATGTACATTATTGACTTTTTGTGCAATTAAATGTTCGAATAAGTAAATGGTATATGACAATTATTTAAAAAGAGTCTTTCAAGCACGATATGTATAAACAAACATATACTGAGTATTCGGCAAATATTTAAATTAAAATGTGATCGTTTATAATCGTTCATAATAATTAGACTGAGTACAGAATTTATCCCTGGAAACAAAGCTTTCATCATCTTTTAAATAATGTCAATTGAGAAAAAAAGGAGAAGAAAACAAACGTTTCATTATTGAAGTAATCCATAACTGTACAACTAACAAATGTATTCAGTTTTTTTTTCATATAAAGGCTTTCTTCGTGTACTAGTATTACTTAAGTTAATTAAAGGGATGCCTTAATATTTTGGCAAGGAAAATGAAACTCGATCGAGAGATTCTCCGATGTTTTGTAGTCGGTTATAACCTTCAACCCCTTTAACCAGTAATTAACCCGTCCTCCCTGTGCCAGTAGCATAATTCGGTCAAATATTTATTGTTCATGAGGTGTGCCTTATAATTAATCACAGGCACCTGAATTTTTATCAGCAAGTCTCTAAATTAGCCAAATATCGAAACATTCTACCCCCTCTTTATATAAATACACAAGGTGTGCAACGCCATTTCGACCCCCTGTTCGATTCAGGCTTCAATTTAACACATAAATCGGATATGCCTACTAGTTTTCTTGTAGCATTGGGTTCAAATATGATATTTCTCGCTATATATTTCTTCCTAAAGTTTAAATCCATCGCGTTGATAAAGTTATCAGCTAAACTTCATGCTGACTTCGAATTTCGTCACATGGTCCGATCGCTATCAGCTGACTTCACGGAAATTTAATCTCGACACCAAATGCTCCTATACAATAATTTTTTTAAAAGAGCAATTATAAATTTATTTCATTGACAAGCAATATCAGAAAAAAATTAAAAACCGAAAGATTTTGTTGTTTTGATAGTCTTGATTTTATTTAACATATGTTATATGTGTTAGAAAGAAATCGTAGGCCTGGAAGCTTTGTTGAAGTTTTCGTTGTCGATAGGTAGCGCCTTATGGAAGTTTCCGATGTCGATACATGCCATAAAGCGGTTAGCAAAACTAACCGCTTAATTAAGAAAAAATGAAACATTACTAAATAAATTATGAAAAATGAAGGACATTGTTTACAGGCACGTAGCAAGGGGCGTGCCCCCCAAATTTTTTAAAACTTTTTTTCTATTGAAATGTTCATTGAAAAGCTGGTTGGCCCCCCCAATTTTTCTGCAAAAGTAAAGTAATATAAGTAATGCAGTAATTGTAGGAAGAAAAGAAAGTGTGATACTGAAAGAAATTTGCGTTGAAGGAAGTTCGCCTACATCCCCCACTTCCCCCCACCCTCCACCCACTAAAGGAAATAGAATTTTCGAGATTGCGCAAACAAATTTTCCTTTTTTTTTGGCTGGATAACTTTTTTCCGGTAAGTAATTTTTTATTTCTCCGCCCCACCCCCCCCCCCTTTCAAAAACGATGCTACGTCATAAGCTTAATGAAAAATATTTTTTATGCACCCGGATCGAAAGATCCGAGGCGTATATTGTTTTTGTCCTGTCTGTCTGTTTGTCTACAAACTTTAACCTTCGCCATAACTTTTGAACCATGAAAGGTAGAGACTTCATATTTGGTATGCTTACTCTACTAATGAAGTTCTTTCAAATAACGCAAAGGTCAATGACCTTGTGACCTTGACTGTGATCTACATGCTCAAAATAGAGGTTTTATTGCAAAGTGTAACCTTTGCTATAACTTTTGAACCACAAAAGATAGAAACTTAATATTTAGCATGTATACTTCACTAATAACGCTCTTTCAAATGACACCAAGATCAATGACCTTGTGACCTTGACTGTGTCTTATATGCTAAAAATAGCTTTTTTTGAACCTGCTCCATAACTTTTGAACCATGAAGGATAGAGACTTCATATTTGGTATGCATACATAACTAATCAAGATCTTTCAAATGATATCAAGATCAATGACCTTGTGACCTTGACTGTGTCATATACTAAAAATAACTTTTTTGAACCTTAATCCATAACTTACTTTTGAACCATGAAAGATAAAGACTTCATATTTGGTATGCATACATCACTAAAGATCTTTCAAATGACATCAAGATCAATGGCTTTGTGACCTTCACTGTGACCTTTATGCTAAAATATGTTTTTTTTTTTTTTAATTTGTTCCCGCCGGGCGCATAGTGTTTCACAAACACATCTTGTTTTTTAAAGAAATAATGTTGATCTTGCCATAACCTAATTCAAATTGTCGTCAATTTTGAATGTAAACACCTATTTTTTTACCATAATAAAATACAACTTTGTTTTATTTCATACGATGCTACCGGTTTAATGACAAAAAGAACTAATTTTCAAATTATGTAGTGAAAACCTAATACTTTATCTAAATCACAACTTTCAACACCCTCTAACCCTTATTTAACATTGGACTAAATCAATTTGAACTCGCCATTTATACATGTAGTACGGTTTACGCCAGCATCAAATAAAGTTGACAAACTTAACCGTCAGGTAATTCAAATTTGAAATCACACCTTTACATAAATTTTGGTTTGATTGATTAAGCGGTTAGCTTCTTTAACCGCTTTGTGGCATGTATCGACACCGGAAACTTTCATAAGGCGCTACCTATCGACAAAGCCTCTACCTATGATTTATTTCTAACACATATAACATATGCTAATTAAAATCAAGACTATCAAGACAACATAATCTTTCGGTTTTTAATTTTTCTCTGATTTTGTTTGTCAATGAAATAAATTTATAATTGTTGTATTAAAAAAGTAAATGTATGGGAGCATTTGGTGTCGAAATTAAATTTCCGTGAAGTCAGCTGATGAGATCGGGCCCTGTGACGAAATTCGAAGTCAGAATGAAGTTTAGCTGATAAAATTATCAACGCGTTGGATTTAAAATTTAGGAAGAAATATATAGCGAGAAGTATCATATTTTAACCCAATGCTACACGAAAACCAGTAGGCATATCCGATTTATGTGTTAAATTGAGGCCTAAATCGAACAGGGGGTCAAAATGGCGTTGCACGCCTTGTGTATTTATACTTTATATAGAGGGGGTAGAATGTTTCGGTTTTTGGCTAATTTAGAGACTTACTGATAAAAATTCAGATGCCTGTGATTTATTATAAGGCACCCCTCGTGAATAATAAATATTTGACCGAATTATGCTACTGGCACTGGGATGACGGGTTAATATACTGGCTAAAGGGGTTGAAGGTTATTACCGACTGCAAAACATCGGAGAATCCCTTTTCCTTGCTAAAATATTAAGGCATCCCTTTAATTAACTTGATTAATACCAGTACATGAAGAAAGCCTTTAAATAAAAAAAAACTGAATGCATCTGTAAGTTGTACAGTTATGGATTACTTCCATAAAGAAACGTTTGTTTTCTTCTCCTTTTTTTCTCAATTGATATTATTCAAAAGATGATGAAAGCTTTGTTTCCAGGAATAAATTCTGTACTCAGTCTAATTATTACAAACGATTATAAACGATCACATTTTTATTTAAATATTTGCCGACTCTTTTTTTAAATAATTGTCATTTATTACTTATTCGAACATTTAATTGTATGAAAAGTCAATAATGTACATTTCTTAAAACTTTATTATCTTGTTTACTTGTCTTTCTTCCTGTGAGAGAAATAGTTCATAATATTAATAAACAGATGTACTCAGTATCTGTATCAAAATACAGAATTAACAGCGATCGGTCTCAAAAGAAAAACGGATCCTTGAAAGTTCCGGTGCCGAGGAGAAGAAAGCATCCCCAATGACAGGTCACATCTGCTGACCCGCAGTGAGCCTACGAAACTGAAGCTCTCTGAAATTAATTAATTTATAAATTCTCTGCTCGTCCATCCGTTTTTCTCAGACTAGCCAGCTAAAGATCTATGTACAGTACATCAAATAGATTAATCTAAAGAATTTGAATTATCATTTAATTTTCTTTTTGAGTTGTTTGTTATAGTAATATATGGTATGATAGGGTAATTTTCCTTATATGTTTCAATGTAAAACTTTCATTCCCTGTTGTGGCCCCGCCCTACCCCCGGGTGTCATGATTTTTACAATTTAGAATCTACACTACCCCAGGATGCTTCCACATAAGGTTCGGCATTTCTGGTACAGTGGTTCCTGAGAAGAAGATTTTTAAAGATTTTTCTCATATATTTCTATGTTTAACTTTGATTCCCTATTGTGGCCCCATCCTATCCCCGGGGGTCATGATTTTAACAATTTAAAATTTACACTACCCCAGGATGCTTCCACATAAGTTTAAACTTTTCTGGCCCAGTGGTTCTTGAGAAGAAGACTTTTTAATGACCCAACCCTATTTTTGTCGTTTCTTGATTATCTCCCCTTGTGAAGGGACTTGGCTCTCCATTTTTACAATTTAAATTCATCTTTACCCAAGGATGCTTTGTACCAAGTTTGATTAAAATTGGTTCAGTGGTTCTTGAGAATGTGAAAAGTTTACAGACGGACAGACAGACGGACAGACAGACGGACGGACGGACGGACGACGGACAAAATGTGATCAGAAAAGCTCACGTGAGCCTTAGGCTCAGGTGAGCTAAACATGAGACCTTATTTTTTAATTAAAGACTTAATTTACGTTATTATTTTGAATGAAAACAAATTGATAATGTAATGATTCTGTAAGATTTCAATCTGGACTGTTTACTTTACTAGTATTTTTTTTCACAGAGTTCAACATTTACCGTTAGTATTTTTTACACTTTATTTGCATTTTTATAACTTGCATATCTGTATTCTGTCATTTAGCCTTTTTATTGAGTTTGAGATAAAGAGATTGAACTACTCATGCATGTTTATCCTTATCATATTATTGTTTGATGTAGTAGGTAAACTGTTATATTTCTAAATTATCTGTTTTTATCTTTTTTATATCAGAGGACATATCGAGAGATTTGATGGAAAAAAGCAATTTTGCACAAAAAGTCAATTAACAAAAACAAAGAAAATCGTTAACTTTGATAATAACACAGGCTAATGGCATGCCAAGAGTGAAGCTTAAAAAACACTTGACTTGTTAAAGAGATGTTTTTCGATGAGGATAGGTTAAATAATAATATAATAAGATAAGACGTGAGCTATACATAAGGATATTTGAAACTAATCATACGTACCACAATCCAGAACTAGATATTTGCTTCCTTTGGAGAAGACTCCGAATCCCTGGACACCGCCTTCCGACTGCATGGGGAGCTTTTTACAATATAATAAGCCCACCATAGGCTCCGGTGCTATCAGACACTGGTTCCCGGATATCCCAGCCTAAAGAAAAATCAAAATCTCATCATAGTTGTAAGCAAGCCTTAAACAAATACATGTACAGTGGGCTTTCAGATAACTGGACGCCAGATATCCAGATGCTTCAGTATCCGGACGTCTTTTCATGGTAACGGAATTTTTTGACGTTAATTTTTCCTGTTTACCTTTTGATTCAGATAGCCGGGACTCTTCACATATCCAGACAATTTGACTGGGAACCATAGTGTCCGTATAAATGAGGCTCCATTGTATATTCTAATAAAGTGCCCTGCCACAGCATGATACCCCCGTCAAATATTGTTCAATAATCATAAATTGGTTGCGGTGCAAGAAAATCAAGTAACCTTTATTAACAGATTGGCAAAGATTTCAATGATCTTATACAATTATTGCTGGTTTTTGGGGTCAATACAATAATTTAGCCATCTGAGGAGTACAATATTCACCGAGCCCGAAGGGCGAGGTGAATATTGTACTTCGAAGATGGCTAAATCATTGTATTGACCTCAAAAACCAGCAATGATTGTTTTATTATATGATTCACTGATAATTGATAAAATGATAGAGCTCATTACTTGTTTGCATTTTATTAAGTCCTAGCCAAATACAAGAGAGTAGCAGAATTAAAACGTTAATAAATTTTACCAGCCGTATTTATTTGAATTTTTTAAATCAATTTTAAAGGACATAAAAGAAATATATAATGTCAGTCTTTTTATAGGATAGATTTTGAAAGGAAGAAGTATTATCAGGGAAAACTGACTGCCAAAAAGTAAAAAACAAAATAATGTTCAGTAAAAGTGTTGGAGGAGGGGGGGGGGGCGTCTTCATACCTTCTTAATTACCACCCTTACCTAAAATATATATTCGCTTATGTTTTGTTCACATGAAAATACAATCATTGTCGTTTAAATAGCTTTAAAAAACAATTTGTATCAATTTGGAATTCCCCAATCTATTTTTAGATCAATGTAGAGGAAATAAATCCTTGTATTGACCTGGAACGTCACGTGCAGGTCAATACAACGTAATATTTTTCTAACATAGTTGGATCTCAGCCAATCAGAGAGATGGAAATTATTCAATCATATAATAATATTTCTTATCATGTTTAAAAAATTGTACATACATCTCTAAGGGACTTACAGTGTAGGTATTTAATTATAGCAAATAATACATCATATAATTCTAAACTGGCTGTATTAGAGCTTAACAAATATACATTTGCAGATTTGAATTGTTTATTGCATATTTTATGAAATTGCATATTTTATCAAATAATGGAAATGCAACAGTATAACAAAAAAAAATGAAACTTAAATCATTCTTCAGACTATAAAATTCTAAGTGAGACATGACTGCATTTTGTTGCAAATATATATAAATTGAAATGTTCCGGTAATTTTTTTTCAATGAACACATGTACGAGGGGTTATCAAAAAGTTCGAGGACTAGCGCCATAAAAATAAAACCGCTTTAGGTACATGAATGAATTTTAGAATATCTAGTTATCATCGTCTTTTCTATCTACAGAATAAATCATAAATCATAAATTTTATTTTTTAATAAATAAGTAATGTTTTTGTAAGCAATGGTATGTCCATGGGGCGCAACCTCAAGGCAACGTTTTATTTTTTTTTTCGACCTAATTGTTGCTAAGAAAAACTATTATGGTATGAACATTTGACATCCAAATATCCCGTTAATTAAGGTATGTGTTGCGACACCAGGGGCGGATCCAGCAATTTTTGAAAGGGGGGGTTCCACGGTTATATTCCTATAACCCCCCCCCCCCCAATACACACTCTCAAGCAAAGATTCACACACACACGTGTAGAAAGATCGTATATTGTGGGTAAATAATATCTTTGTTTACATACCTTTTTTCTTTGAAATGGTACCCCAAGTCATCTTCGCTAGCCAAGGGTTTTTGATACGCTACTCTAGCTCCTCATGAATCCTTGGCTAGCGAAGATGACTCCAAGTTCGAAAACTACTGAAGCCTTATGAAATTGAATGGGTCTGCAGCATTTCCGAATTAGAATAAGAATTTTCTTTTAGAATTTGAAAACTTTTTGGGGGTAATATGCTGATGGGGTTTAAAAGATAAAGAGATACATGTTATAGTTCCTTCAAAAGATATGATACTAAAGTGTATATATATATATATATATATATATATAGCCAACACAGCCCAAGATCGCAGGAATCTCTTAGCAAGTTAAACATCGCATGTTACATATTATATATAAAATATATAAAAATAAAGAAAAATAAGTAGAATATTTTCTATCATTCTCTCATCAAAATAATTAGTAATAGTGAAGGTGAATGGATGAAACTGAATGTGAGTAATCTGTCTATTCAATACATTAGTTAGACGAACAAATATTTTTTTCTCAGATAACGTCCTCCCTCTCTCTCCACTTGGCAAAAAATAAAGGGGGGTTCCAACCCCCGGAACCCCCCCTCTGGATCCGCCAATGGACACTATTGTTCCATAAAAATAGTAAATTTTTATCTCATTCTGGAAGTTCTATGAAATTTTATCGTAAATTTTATATGGAGTATCCAAACAAATATTGCCTTGAAAATGACGTCAAAAGGGTAGGGGTTTCCTTTTTCAACATTGTATAAAGTTTTGCCCCTAGAAAATTTGGTACACACCTAGAAAATGTTTAAACTGGCTACGGGGAAATAACATACATCAATATAACTTGTTTTTAATGCTAAAATAGATTCAGAGAGAAAAGGAATGCACAGTTAATTTCGATTTTGAAGTCAAGGTGTGAAAAATCAATCGAGTCAAAAAATGACGTTGATCATGTGTTGTAGATTTTGAACTCCAAAGAGCAAAATATGCTGGCAGAATCAAGTGAGAATTTCTTTCATTGACTTAATCCATTTGGAATATCATATGCATTGAAAGCCGCTGTTTATGACATTGTGTAGTAATAAACAAGACGGATTGAAGTCCTTCCTCAGCTCCAGAGAATCTCATCAAAATAAGTGAATGAGGTAGAAAAAAACAGACATTGAAAAACAATGACGTTGTGGGACGTCATAAAACTAAACGGCGACAGCGCCGGGTGATGCTATAATGTCGTTTTTAATTCATAATAATTTGGGAAATAATGAACGTATCAAGCTAAAATTTTCAATATTTGTTTATTTTTTGTTGTTTTATGTTCTTTAAAAATTTTGTAAGCTCAGATTATATAGTACTAATTTTATAGCCTCAGTCCAAGAATTTTATCATAACCCCTCGTATAATTAGTTTTAATTATATCATACAATATTAATTTAGTTTTAGTCATACACTAAAACATCAATTTGTTTTAATTACATTACACCAATTGAAAGATCTTTATCTGGACTATAGCCATCAAGAACTCTTAATTAACAAAAGCAACTATGAGGCCATTTCCTTTTTCCCAACTCCCAAGAGATAAATTAAGATAACACTGCATGATCAGATCTAAAGATGCTCTTGCCAGTTAGCTCCCGTCAATAAACTCATAAATGTCTCTCTAATATGATATGCACGATCCTGCTATCAAAATTCTTTTTGACCAGTGCTTGATAATTATGCCTATTGGACAAACTGAATTCCTCTCAAAACATTAACATTTGTTACAGATTGCTGTAAAGTATATGATGAAAAAATGAGTTTTTAGTTTATTCAACACTTTTACTTAGGATACAACTATTTAAAAAAAAAATTTTAGGATTATGAAATTTAAAATTTAAAAGACTTAGTTTTTTTTTTTTAATCACTTAAATTACAGGTCACAGTGACACACCTTCTACCTTAGATGTATACGTGCCAAGTTTGAAAGCTCTAGGTCTAATAGATTTCTACCGGAAAACTGTTTGAACCGGACAGGATTTTTCCATATTTGGCTATAACATCTTTATTAAAGGTCAGAGCAACCTACTTTTTGTGTGCAACACACCGTCTACCCAAGAAGTATCAGTTGACAAAGTTTGATAAACATAGGCCTAATAGTATTCAAGTTATGGGCCGGACAGGAATGGGCAGACAGACAGACAGACAGACGGACGGACGGACATGAAGCCTATAACATAATTCTTCCCTTGCGTATAAAAAATTGTTTTCTAACTGCAGTCTTAATTAAAACTCCTCAGATTGCTTTTTTTCAAACTCAAATTCCTCTTTAAGGGTCTGTGGTTTTTTTTTATTGCAGATTGCTTAATTTTTTTAGTTTTCATGGTTCTTAACATTTCTGAAGTTACACAAGTTTTAAAAGGAGCTGACAGTGTTTTAATTGTGTGAAAACCACAATAGGGAAAGTCTTTAATAATACATTTGTATACCATATGTAACTCACTTCAGTATACTTGCCAAGTTTAGGGAAAATCTAGCGTCTGGGTACTTTTAGGAATCCGTCTCAAAAAACAGGTACATTTACTAAAGGGTAATGTGGGGAAATGCCAAATTATATGAATACTACACTATACTTTTAACTCAAGTTAAAATATGTTATGAGTAATATTATATTATACATTTTACGCAAAAACACAAAATTCTACCGCCTGGTTTCTAGGGTGATCTTATAGTGTCAAAATTAGTAAAATTCTACAAAATATTAAAGACACAAAAGTTTTATGCAAAAAAATAGGAAAATAATAGATATATTCTAAAAAAAATGTATGTTTAGAATTTCCAGATCTTATATTGAATACTTTCCCTTTTTATGACATTTTTAATGACCCCCGCTTGAAGAAATTTACTCTACAACGACGTCAATCTACCAATTATTTGAAAAATCGATGTAAGAATCAGTAATACAGGTGACTCTCGATGGCTCGAATTCTGATCCCTCGAAGTGAACCCCCGGTCCCGTTTTTTCCTCTCTATATAACTAAGCAAATTTACTCCTGATCACTCGAACTTCTTTCTCTCGAAGTTCTCTATCTCACGGACCAAAACATGGGTACCGTTAAGTCGGCTTTAAGCGTAAAACTGATGCAGCCTGAACTTACCTGGAAAACACTTAACGCCTGCTGCTTGGCATTGAGGTGTAAATTGGGTCTTTACATACAGATGGCACTTCACCTGTGGGTAGTCCGTGTGTTAATATAACTATTTGATTATTATTGGTAAATTATAGTTATAGTTATTATTATAGTTTATACTCGAATCTATAAGTTCCCATTGGCTATGAACTTTTATTACAGTCTACATAATCTCAGTATGGCAAATATTGAACAAGAAATTCCTTTCTCAAGGACTATACCGATTAAGAAAAATCTTGTGAACACTGGTGAACAGGTTAAGGACTCGATCAAGCTGCGGAATAGTCAAACCGACAATTGCTATTCGGATTTCATGTAACCATTAAATAAGAACAAATAAGTAGTGAAACTTTTGAAATTCGTTTTATTTAGTCGGTATACGATTATTGAATCAGATGTTGATATCAATGTAGTAGTGTGTATAATATGTGTACATAATAAATAAGTGTTTTAAATTAAATGTAAATAAATTAAACTACCATTATAGATAAAAGTATAAAAAGCTTGATCCGCTCCTTTATATCCTTAGCTCTTTACCTGTACAACTGTATATAGATGATTAGTTACCGCAGGGCAGCTCAAAGGTTTTGGAGTGTTATTGATTCTTATTGGTAGTTTGTTTTGAAGTTGGATTTCATTGGTTGTATTCTTATGTGGTCATTGGTTTTACCGCCAAAATATTCATTCTTTGTTTTGTTGAGAAATGACCAAGACTGTATTTTATGGACTCCATGACTTTGACATTTTGAGACTGACAATTTCCATTTTCTGGTAAGTAATAACTTTCCTTATTACTAATTGTCAAGTAATTTTTTTCTATTCCATAGATTTTCATTTATTAAAGATCCCAATTTCACTTTATATTAATGGAATGAATGACCATGAGAGAAAGATATTTATTTTTTTTATCAATATGATTGGAATTATTGATTGTAAAGATCAGTAATGTTTTATATCATAAGTGTAAATTGTTTTATTCAAGTTATTTTTATGACCCAGATATTTGGTAACTTTGTTCAAAGTGAACAGATGATTTTATTTTAAAGGAATATATATTTTAAAGTATACTGTATTAAATTACAGAGTCCATATACATGTCATTGCAACTGTAAACATCACACATTTATGTGGTAGCCTTTTCCCACAGAATGGTGAGGAATTATTTGTTTTAATTAGTATTATTTTTATGCCTTTATATGGGAGAAGATATGTAATGTCCATATATTGACTATAAGAGTTATCTCCCTTAATTGAGAGTTAATGTACATGTATGTATATCATCTATAATATATTATTATGAATATAGCTACATCTATAGCTGATTAATATGATTGCAACTGTAAGACCTGAATTGATGTGCTATTATATTGTTGTTTTATTATATTTCAGGGCTATAATAACATTGTTTTGCAAAAGCTTACTGTGTCTAAATAAATAAGACCTGAACCCTGACAGAGGAGTGTTTGTTCTTCATTACAATCCCTTTTACATTAAGTATAGATTACCTGTAAAAAACGATGGAAAACGTATAATGACTTTATTTATATATACTTCAGGTATCCATAAAAGGAGAACTTCGATGAATGGAACTGAAAATTCCGGATTTTATTTACTTTCTATCTCTCGAATCCCTCGACATTACTTGCAGTCCCTTTGAGAGATCGAAAGTCACCTGTATAAAATTATAATTAGGGTTTATAACTTGTGATTTCTTACTTTTGATCGATTTTATTATACCCCCCGCTTGAAAAGTGGGTGGGTATATAGTAATCGGTATATCCGTTCGTCCGTATTTTACGCTTTGGGGTGCCCATCTCTTATCCGCAACTCCTCTTATACCACTGAGTGAAATTTAATGAAACTTTCACAGAAGCTATATTACATATTGCCATTGTGCACCTCTTATTTTACTTTTTGACCCGACGCATAGTTTGGGTTTCCTGGCCACAATAAAACATGGACTTTTCCGTCATAACCATATGGAGGCAGAGGGTTTCATTTAGTGAGCTCATTGCTCACAGTACCTCTAGTTAATTTTCTGATAAAGTGCTTAAAAAAATACATTCGTTTTTTTTACTACTACAATGGATACCCCAGTCGACCCCCTTAAATCTTACGATAAATAATAAAAGAAATCTCAAAAATAAAACAAAAATAAATCTTATTAAAATTGGTGACATTTCTCTAAGCTTATTTAAAGCTTATACCTTAACTGCCGCCTCTCTCATAAACTGTCTTGCAGAATCATTCCCGATAGCAGGGACTGTTAAGACCCAGCATATATCTGTTTCTCTGAACACTGCACCTTGTTGTTCTAGAGAATAAAGTAGGTGCTTCCTAAGGAATTCAATGGCCGCAGAAAACACATCAAAAGCCACCATCTCCTTTCCGTCTATAGATTTTATTTTTACTGCTTTTGAAAGTGGTTCCTGTAAGATATGTGTTCAACATTTTAACCATTTAAAGACTATATACAGTCCGTTAATTAAATAAAAACTTAAATTAAAACGAATCTTATAATAACACAAAAGCTATAAATTGAGAAATATTTTTTTTTAATTCTAACCCCTTAAATTTCTAATAATAACATTATTTAAATTTTCATCAAACATATATCTATTTTAAGCATTTTCTGCATTTACTTAAGTTAGGATTGTATCTCAAAATTAAAAAAAAAACAGCGGGAAATGAAAAATAGATGTGAGTTTAGAGTTCTCCCCTAAGAAATTAATTGGGAATACCAGAGTTACCGGAAGATTTCGTCATTATAAACGGCGAAATTTCCGGCCCCTTCAGAACAATTCTGACTTTAAATTATTCTTATTTTTCAAAGATTAAAAGATGATCTTGCCTCTTTGTTAAAGATAGACATCTTGAACCTCTTAAAATAATACCACTCCTCATGTTGCTCGTTCAATGTGAGTTCTGAATATTTATTCTCCGCTTCGTAACCAAAAGAGTCGAACACTTTGTCTTTATTGAAAAGAACACAGTTGGGGGTCTTAAGGGTCAAGAGACCACAGGAGCCTGCTACCCAGGTGTTCAACTTGATCTTCAAAGGAACGTTCTCGTATTCTTCTTCAAAGGAAAATGCAAAGCCGCTGTAAGTAGTACCTAAGTCTATGGCTGCCACCACCAGTTTATCGGTAGAGGATATGTTCTCTGTGTCCCAAGTCTGAAAGCATAGAATATATCCATTGATGTGGATTTCTTAACCAAGAACTTATATGTCCAGAAAACAACAGTAAATAAGAATAAAAAGAAGAAAGAGATCCCAATCTAACCAAATATCAATGTCTGTAGGTACAAATAATGTGATCGATTTGTTAAAGTAATATCACTTACCTGTGCCTCCAGCATCTCTTTTGCTGTTATCTTTGGTTTCTTTACTTCGTAGCCATTTTCCTCTGTTTTGACGGATAATGGTGTTAAATATCCGAATAGCTTGTAAAACTGCTCTGTGTCAATTGTCATTGAATTGAAAGTTGGTAGAGATATTTGAACTTTTGGAGGTAGTTTGCTTAATGTCTTGGTTCGTGAGATGTATTCCATGGTCAAAGATACATCATTGGAATCTTCAAGTTGTTGAAGATTTAGAAGCGTTTGTTCAATAAGAGTCTGTATTTGTTTGATTTCTTTCAAATGTTCCTTTAGAATATTCTCATGCTTCGTTTTTCCCCTCTCTATCTCAATTCTTAATGTCTCGACAATTAAGTCAACTTCTCTGTGCCATTCTTTTCCACATTCCATCAACGTTGTTGTAAGATTTCCATATTCCCCATCTAAGTTAGCTATTTTGGTTTCTATTTCATTTGCAATTTCTGCATACGTTGGAGAAATTAAGTTTTCTAATTCTTCAGAATCTTTTCCAATACCTTTCCTCTTTGAATAAAAGAGATCAGAAAGAGATTTAACTGCATGTCCCCTATGTGTTTCAGATAAAGCACACAAAGCACACACAGAGATTTTGCACGTTTCACAGTGAAACTCGCTGCTTCTTGTTTGATGTGCTGAGCACTTAGGATAGATTAAAGTTGACTTTTTTTCTCGGTATGGAACGACTTTATGTTTGTCGTAGTCATCAGAAATATGTTTTCCTATACAAGGAATGCACAGATTGACATGACAGAAATCACAATACTTCTGTACTATAGCTGTCTCACAAAGGTCACATCGGATGACATCTTGCGCACTCGTTCGAGGATCCATATTAAATCTAATAAGTTAAGAGTACAAATGCATTTTATTTGTTTATCTTATTGATTTTTTTAATGTCTGTGAAAGCGAAAGTACAAATTATTTAAAAATGCTTCATATATTTTAATAACCTCATAAATCACTTAATTTATACTGATTCATTGAATCATTAACACAAAATTGTAGGAAACTTTTAATGGAGGGATACAAACTGTGGTCAAAACATTCATTTCATTGTAGATTGACAATGTGATTCGCCTTTTTTGGCTATAAATTTTCAAAACATCATCCAAATATAGTATCTTAAGATATATTTGATTACATTCATCTAGTAAAGAAAAGGAGAATGTAACACAATACCTTCTAATAGAGTAATTTTTTTCTGTCCAGCAATGGACGCTCTATTTATCACAAAGCAATCTTCAGATATAGCTGTTTTTCAGAGAGTTATCCTTCTTGTGATTTATCATTAATCTTGTGTAAAACTCTTGATTTCTTATAGAATGAGCGAAAATTTGGGACATCAAAGAATCAATTATTGTTGTGTTCAAATAAAGTGAGGTTCTCAGTAGATCACTAGATTTTGATCGTAAAATTGATTAAAAATCTTACTTTCGTTTTAGATTATAAGGTTGTTGTCATGGGTCACCAATATTTCTTGAATATGAAAAATTGTTATTTGATTCAAATAAACCATGCTTTAAGACATGAAGTGGAAATGATTTGTGTAACTTGATTAAAAACAAAGTGTGCATAAGCATTGAATCGGTCACCGATCTTAATTTCTTAAAAATTTAAATGTTCACATAAAAGATGAGAATATTGCACGCCAAATTTACAGACATGAGCTAATCATAGTTTTACAGTTGATAATCTAATCTAGGTTAATCGACTGTGAACTATGCTTGCCAACTATTATAAATTTTATTTAACATATATAAACTATAGTTTACGCGATAGTCTATGTTTCAACAAGCGTAAACAAACATTGAAAACAATCTTTTGCAACTGCAATATATCATTTATCTGATAAATATAGCTTCTCGATCCGCGATTTAAGGACTTTGGTGTACAACTCTAAACAATACTTTACAAATGTAAATTATGTTTTAGAATTTGTAAAGTGTAGTTTATAGACATTCAAAGTGCCGAATTACCGAAAAAGTGATAAACACAGTTTTACGTTTGAGAAAAACAGTTACAGAACAGAAATTCTTACCTTGCACAAAATTAGGGTTGGTATGTAACGTCAAAGTATCTATTTCTGACGTTTTTGCGCACGTCATCTGAGCGTAGAAACGTTAAAAAGTAGTATCATCTAGACTACACATTCAATTGTTGCTCTTGTTTTCTTAAAAAATGTTTAATATTTTACCGTTTCTTTCAATACAAAATTTGATTAATTTGCAAATGATATAAATATAATTTTATCTGTAACAAGTTTCTCAATTACAAAGAGAATAACGCTAAATAAATGATATACGAGCTGTTTAACATTACCATAATATGCATATCTGTGTCATAGAAAGCAAAACCATCTGGACATTAATATCACTCCATCACCATATCAATCTCTACTATTACACATGTACTTGCTTATAATACCGCATATTTGAGTTCATCTCACAATATGCGTCGTTATCAAATCTCTATCCTTTAATTATATGTCATCATTCACCTCCTTTTTGTGAAAAATCAAATAAATAAGATGAGCCGGAATTTACTTATCCATCCACACAGTGTCAGTACTTAGTCACTAGGTTTACGGGTTATCTCCCCTTTTTATGCATCAATGAAAGTGAAAGGTGGGTGATGAAAGTATCCGATTTATTTTTCTGTATTATGAAATATTTTCCCACCTCAACCCTTGAGCTAGGTGTTAAGTATATACTCTTACTCCTTTTGTTTGTTTAAATTACGTTTACATTGTTTTACATGGGTTAGGTATAGCCAATTAATTAAAGTTATGGAAATGTTATTGAGAATCTTTTTCTGCTCTTGGGTTTTGTTTTTGTCTTTTCAGGTTTTAGAGATTTCGTTGAAGGAAACTTACGGTGATGATCAAAATTGCCTGCTATTTCCGTATTCTAGGACTTTTGGAATGATCTCTGGACGAATACCATGCGTGACAATTACCGGGTAATTATCAACTTGGCGAATTATCCATGATTTCAAGGAGTTTGGGGATAGACCTTAGACTATACTTCACAGTGGTCGTATTGGCTAAATCGTCACCTTTAATTTAACCATTGAACTGTTGATTTTGTTGACTTTTTGTGTTTGCTGTTGATATATGCGATGGTTGATGTTGATAAATGTAATGTTGACTTTGAAAATTATATCTATTGTAGAAAATTGACCCCGTAGAATAATGACCCCCTGTCATTTTTTCTGGCAAAACAATTCATTTTAGAAGGAATATTCTTATTAGGCGAATGCAAGCAGGTAATATCAAGCTGACGTATGCTTTGAAGTGTTAATATCTGAAAGCTTTTAACATGTTTAAGCTAAAATAACGAAATCAAAGCGATAAAATACCTTGCATTAATAATACAATCTGTTTATCCCCACTAGAGGAAAACAGTATCAAAATGTTCTAACCCAAAGGCTATAAGAGTAAAGATACGCGATTTCATAGAAACTTTTATTAAATTTTATACGATAAGTTTCCACAGTTGCCATTTTAATTCTAAAAAAGGTTTTTTCCATACTTCCACCAGAGTTCGTTTGTACCAAACCAAATCTCATATCTCTGTGTGCGGAGACGCAGAGGACGATGGGTAGTACGGGTCATTTTTAGCTGACAGGTATGGTGTCAGAAAGAAAAGTTTCCGTTATTAATCAATTATGAATCTTTTTGATTTTACCCTGGATATACAACTTTTCAAAAGTTTAATGTTTTTTATCCCTATTTTTAAAACTGGCACAAAAAGGGTTCCAACATAGAAAAATCGTATAAAAATATCGTCGCTGTAATATCAAATTGTCGTAAGTCAAAAATCCCAACTTTTCAGGAGAGATAAAAAACATATTTTTTCAAAATGTCGTATGTCTAGTGTTTTCCTTTCTGTCCTGGATGTTTTTTCAGTACAAATTGTCGTATCTCCAGAAAAGCATTGAAACAAACCCTTGCAATGTATTGTAAGCGTACGAATCTGATATTAGAACGCTCTAAAATGTATTATATGAATTAACATACTCATAAATTGATTGCAGTTACAAACTGCGAAAACAATTCAGTTTGTCATGAAGTAACCTAACATCTAAATTTTCATCAATCTTTCTATTGATTTCTCTGTTTATTAAATAAATATACTTTGTTTTGTATGTTGAACACATTTTTTAGTAAAAATTATAAAAGATTTAACTAAAATTATAATTTTCCCCTTAATATCAGACTGCCAGTGACATCTTTGTCAGTGCCCAGAGACATACGACCTTTTGTCAGAAAAAAAAATGCATCCAATGGACATACGCACTTTTTTCACACGTCTGTATCTCACTTTCTAATTGGCCTAGAGACATGACGTTTTGACAGAACATGTATTCGATATTGCAGATTCCAAAATAGCAATAAAAATTTCGCGCCAAAAATCGACTTACGACATTTTGATATTATGGTGACGATATTTGATTTTCTAAGCATTTAGTTTCAAACTTCTAATAAAAAAATAAGGATGATATATTTTTGTAAAAATAAGTACTAAATTAGATTGCCTCTGACCTTAATGTATGATACAAGGAAAACAAAAAGTGGTTAGCTCAAATCCTGTAAAATGTCTTTTGTCGTTTGCTAGTGTTAACAAAATAGGGATTATAGCATAAAACATGATTGACTAAAAAAAATTATAATAAGTTCCAACCTTTCCAAAAAAGCACATGTAGTATCGTTTTCCCCGTTCATAAAAATACATATGGTGATTTTAGGAGTTTGTTACCAATTAAAAAAAACAAATTTTAGATGATGAAAAAGTTGATACAACGAAGTTTCTGGGGTATATTGCATTTTACCTGTCCGCTTGTCTGTTTGTATATTTGTCCGCAAAACTTGAACCTTGCCCATGCCCATGACTGGGTAAGACTACGGCTTTCATATTTCAAAATTTTATGTGACAAGAACTTTTTGTGTACAATCAATTTTGACCTTTTAATATTGACCTTGGTGTTTGACACACTTTTACACAAGACGAATATGGAGATATTTAACTAACAGTATTCAATATCAAAGTCCATAAAACAATACAAAATATATAGGAGCAGAGCAAACACAAACCTCCGAAACATCAGATATGGAATCAGGTGCCATGGAGGAATGAGCATCCCCTGCTGACCGGTCACACCTGCCATGTTCTCCCTGTCACGACTGGGAAATAACAGGAAATCCGCCGCAAACTCGATGCACAAATAACGGACTAACAAAAAGCACGAAAAACATTAGTCAGCATTTGTTTCAATTTGATAAATTGCATTTGCTGACAATGTCATTGTGTCAACCATAGAATTAACGAAATGTTGCCTTCAAACGAGACTGTTGATATTCTTGTTATTTATTTCATTAACTTTCTTGTCAATAATTTACTTCGTTTTCGAAATTTTTCTTATGTAGAGCATGCTCTTGCGTATAGAATTAACCGAGATATATACACTCCGTTTGCAGGTGATGAAGGTAAATCGCTGCATAAGCAAGGGAATTTGACGATAGAAAAGTTAAAGTCATCACATTTATCATTAAGCCTAGTTGTAAGATTACCATTAACGTCTTTTTTCAAGTAAAATATCCATGTGTGAGACGGATGTGTCAGAATCTGTGGTATCTTTCATCTCAACCTAGCTCTCAAGGATATATCGTATCGACGTATGAATGAAAATTACCATTGTTAATAATTGTTAACAATACGTCGTCGATATATCTAAATGTCGAGATGAAGGCCACAGCAAGTATTTGCTTCTTTTCACGCATTAGACTTTGCACAAATTCTGTTTCAATAGACTTACTTATAACGGAGCGCAATTGGTACCCATGGGAATTTCAATTTATTGTCGGAATCTCTGTTCTTCAAAAAAAAATTATAGATATTGTCGATCAGTTACTCAAGCATCTCTTTCACGTCAACTTAGAGTACTTGTGTGTGCAATGTGTTTTAACAAAATAATTTTGCAAATGACCAATGACCATTGTAAATTTACAAGTTTCGTTTTATTATAAAAGCAGCTGTCAATGAAATCAAAAATCCTGGTTCACACCACTTTTTGAATATATTGTTACGCAGTACACTAAGAGTTTTTCCTTCTCTACTGTTAATACTTTAGTGCGGAGTACAAAAGAGATTTGAATGAACATTTACTGGAACCTGCAATGTGTCTTTGTTTGGAATTCAATATATATAGGGTAATTCAAATTGACCTACAATTTTGGTGA